TTACCATCTACAAAGCTATCATTCATATCGACTATAAATAAAACCAGAATGTATCTATTTCTACTAAACAGTAACTACAGAATAATGATCTGAGTATAAGAAAAAGTAAGTATACATTTAGATGGTAGCTGGAAAATAGAAACATGTTTTTGACAATGTTACTGCCTGTACAAAACACTAAAGACATTTTAGTAGATATACAAACTAAAATTAAAAGTTCAACAAAGTGCAATAAAGTAAAGTAAAACAAGATTCAGTATCTCATAGCTTGTATATGCAGTAAGTTACTGAGAGCATGTTTAAGTATAATCACTTTTATTCTCTTTGTTACATGAAAACCAGAAAAAATACAATAAAACCTTTAAATATGATATGAAATTTAATATTAGAGTCAGTTGAAAATGAGTGTTCTACCTTAAGAGAAAATCCATAATAAATATGAGAATATACATATGGCATTGCTAAAAAAGTTTCACTACAGCTCACCAGTCTTTATACCCCATCAGTTTGGCATCATTTCAGACCATATGCTGATTACGTGACTTCTCTCCACCAATCATAATGCACCTTTATACTGACACAGCTAGCTTCCTCTACTATTCTAGAACAATCCCCACTTTCAAGAATTGGTAGGCACAAACCAGCATCTCAGTGGGGAGGAAGGGTGAGAGGAGGTAAGTACCTATTGGAAATACACTTTCAGAGGAAGAAAATGTTAACTTCTGAAACGGTACTACCTCTTCTCACCCAAGTTGCCAAGGCGGAGGGGCCGATGAAGGCACATCAATCTCAAATCAAACAGAAAGAGACCACACTAAAAGAATGGGTGTGCTTGAATATGATAAGAAAACACACCAGTGGGGTACAGCACTACTTCTGGAACAGGTATGCTCTTCATCCACCAATCAATACAGTAACACAATTGGAGTGGAACTGAATTGACAGACACCACTGAGGTCAATAAAAAGACATGCAGCACTGACTCAGTGTAGGAAGTGCTGGATAATTATGACATGAATCAGTATGGTTTTGACTAACCTGGAAAGAGAAAGGCTCATATGTATGTGCCAGAAAAGTGCTGTTGGTTACACTGGACTATGCCAAGTGCAGTCCATCTGGGCAAAACATCCAGTTGAAATGCCTTGTATAAGATGTAGCAATCAACAAGTGTGGTAAATTTGGGGAAAAACATCCAGGGAAAGCACCTTGGATACACAAGATTATGAAAGATATAAATTACTGTTATGAGTGCAACAGTGAGTTATAGTATGGTGCCAGTAAATGAGCTATAAAGAAAAACTAAATAATACGTGACTCGGGCTTAAGAAATGTGAAAGGTATTTGAATAGGCCAAGTAAGTCTGCCCAGGCAAAAAACATCCAGGGGAAGTGCCTTGAGATAAGTCAGATTACTCCTAGAGTGGTCCACCTGTGCAAAAACATCTAGTGGTAGGACCTTGTGTAAGAATTTGAGATCAACAAGTGCAGTCCACCTGGGAAACACCCAGGGGGAAGCACCTTGGACACATAGGATTAGGCCAGGTGCAGTCTACCTGAGCAAAAAACATCCAGGGGAAGAACCTTGGGTTGCACCAGATTATGCCAAATGTGGTCCATCTGGGCAAAAACATCCAATGGAAGTGCCTTGCATAAGAAATATATGAACAACAAGTGCAGTTTGCCCAGGGGAAAATAAAACCAGCACTTTGGATACTGAATATTATTGTTTAATTCATTGTTCAGTACCATAATAATTATAATAACTATAGCTTTCTTCTCACCATGTAGGTAAAAATGGGCTAGAAAGCTTTATTTCGTTCTTCAAAACCCACTCAGGAGGAAACCTCCACAGTCCACCACTCCAATGACTGAGAACCAGAAGTGGTAAGGACTCCAGTGTTCCACTAGAAGAGAAGGGGAAGTCCAGAGGAATGACACACCTGAGACAGTGCAATGGGTTGCTGCAGTTCCCTATTTTGAAGGCAAATAGACCCCTAACTGTAGCAATCACAGGTTAGTAGGGATGGGCAGAAATCCCCATCTGCTTTCCTCATGAGGTCCATGAGCAATGGTTCTCTATAAGTGAAACTAGTAATTTGTAGTTAAAAAAAATATATATACACATACCACTGGACAAGCTGCCAGTGTTCTTACAGAAACATCCCATTTCAACATTGAGCATTATAGAATTATTTATATCTAGTGAAAATATAATATGAAGCATACCTGACCAGGCAATACTCACCACCAGGTTGGATCCTGAAATATGATAAGTATCAACTAAAAATATATAGAAAAAGTAATATGTCAACCTACCTCATGAAGAAAACTATACCTGCCTCAGGAAGACAAAGCCAGGTTGTGCAGATAATGTGCGATGAATGTATCGGGAGTTGTCCACATCTTATCCTGAATGATCTCCATCAAAGACTGGTGAAGGTGAGCAGCTAAAGACATAGTTAGGTGATGAACTGGGTGAAAAGAAACATTGTGCAGATGACAACCTTCCATGGACAGGTCAGAATGTCAGTTGTATAAGTTGACAAACCCAACCAATGAGTGCAATAGGGACAGATCATGGGACAAGGGGAATCCTTGGAACAAATAGATGAGAATGATAACATGAAAGGAGGCAGTAAGAGCCACATAACATCTGAGGGAACAAACTGGAAAAAGAAGTCTATCCAGGACTGAATGGGTGGGAAATAGGAGAGAAGGCCAAACCATCTGCTTGGGCACCAAATGTCTAGGTAAGGAAGGTCTAATTAGGATAGAGGATAATACAAGAGGAATGGGAAAGGATGTGGGAAACATCCATGGCATAAATATCAGAACAACAAGGACTGCAAGCAAGGAGGAGGAGGAAGAGGACTTGAGGGAAAGATGGTACAAGAAAAATGTAGCAATTGGTTCAAATTGAGAACTGGACAGGGCAAGAAGGACATAATTGAGATAAAATATTGCAAAACAAAGGGACATAGAGAACAGTCAAGATGAAAGAAACAGAAAATGAGGGAAATAACAGGGAAGAAGAAAGCTTTCCAGAAAGAGGAGGATCAGAAGATGTTCAACAAGGCAGCCCTATAAGTAAGAACAGTTGACACAGACAAACCCTGAACAAACAACCAGGTTAAAAACTGGGAAAGATGAGGTACCAAAGGACAGGAGGGGTTGAAGCCATGGGGAATAGACCAGGGTCTGAAGGTAGACCACTACCTCTGGTACATAGACAAGGAGAAAGTTGAATGGAACAAGAGAGATGCTACACATGGGGTAGGTCTCTGAGCTGAGGCAAGAGATCGGACAAAAGCTACGCATAAAGATAGAGTTTGGTGACATCAGAATGAGTTATGTCTGACTGCAGTTGTTAGAGAAGAGAGACAAGATAAGACAGAGATAAGAGCAGGGGATGTCGCTCCAGTAAGTGCCAGAGCAAAGGGAATCATGTCTAAGTAGGTAACTATGAAGCAATGAGCAGGATATGAGAAGGAGTGGTCTGGATAAAGGAAAAGGATGCATCTCTTTGCAGAGCTGAAGGGTGTGGAACCAGAGACCAAAGGAAAGGAATTTTGGCATTCCAATGAATAGTAAACACATTCATATGTGATGTTCCCAGTTGAGAGAACACCCACCGAAGTACCCATGGAAGAAGGGACCACTTCGTGGGGAGAACCTGATTGGGTCAGAATAAGTGATCAGCCACCAGATTGATAATGCTGGAAAAGTAACGTGCCAAGATTGCTATGTAGTGGTCATGGGCCCAGTGAAGAAGATCCAGAGTCTGTAAACACAGAGATCTGGATTTGGTTCCCCCTTGCTTGGTGATATAGTCAATGACAGTGGAATAGTTGGAATGAACCATAACTACCTGTCCCCTGAAGAATGGGAGGAAATGATACAGAGCCCATTGAACTGCCTAAAGTTCCAGGATGTTGAAAATAGAGAGTAGCCTCCTCAATGGACCATTGAGCAGAAAATTCTTGGGAATCGAGGAAAGCCTCCCAATCCACCAAGAAAGCATCGGTAAACAGATGAGACCACAAGTAAAATAAAGGAATGGGAACTCCCACCATAGTCAGTTCCCTGTTGGCCACCAAACAAGGTCGATCCTGATCCCAGGGTAAAGAGTAATGGGATGGTCCAAGGGATAATGGAAGAAGTTTCATTGGTCAAGAAGCATCCAGTGAAGGAAATGCAAGTGAGCTTGAACCAAAGAAATGAGAGCTTCCAAGAAAGCCCACATCCCTAAAAGAGAGAGCACCTTTGTGCAGCGTGAAAAGGAGAGGGTAAAGTCATTGAGACTACCTGCTCCATAATCCTTAGCATAAGTGAAGAAGGTTGCACCCAACGAAGATGGGAATTGAAAAAAAAACCCAATGGAATAAGATATTTAGTGGAGTTAAGAACAACTTCTCCAATTGGATCAGAAAACCCTACCTGATTAGCTTCCCAAAGAAGTAAGCAGCCACGACTGACAGACTGGGCATGGGAAGAGGCAAGCAGGAGCCAGTGTCCATGAAAAGAAGTCTGAAGACCCAAAGAGTGAAAATAATGGGCAAAAGAGCATACCATTTCACAAAACACACAGAGCCAAAGAAGGTCTGAATGGCAATGCCCGGAACTGGAAGACACAACTTTCATGAACGAACCAAAGAAAACTACATGACACTGGAGTAGTTGGCCTATGAAGATAAACATCTGTCACAACAATTTGGTCATCCAGAGTTCCAGGGAGAAAATCCCCCAAAGTGAGAGGTAGGACATCAGGAAGTAGCGAGGTGGCTCTAGATAAGTGTTCAACCAGGACAGGTCTATGATGGACATCCAATTTCCCATCTTTCAAGGGACAACAATTACATGGAAGTAAAATCCCAGTTGAATGGGTACCACCCAATCGACAGCCTCTTTGTGTAATAGGTCTTGAACAGACTAGGCAAAAGAATTGGAAGAGGTACAATCCCTAGGAGGAGGGAAGGAGATCTGGGAAGTGGATAGGGGGGGAGCAGAACTGAAGGCCGAAACCTTCAGATAGAACTCGTAAAACTGTCATGAAGTGTAGCCAAAAAGACACAAAATAAACATACTTAGAGCAGGTACTCATTATAAATGAACTAACACAATCTAGTCTACAAAGTACATAAAAATAAAGAACTTGCAAATCTATGAAATTTGACCTAAAACATAAAATGATAAGCAACATCTAAAGTACAAAATCACTATAGGAACTCAGAAGATAAAAGACACGTAAATATTGAAGTTATAAGTCCATCCAAAGAACTGATAAGACAAAGTACATGAAAATAAAACCTACCCTGAAAAACATAGAGAATGAAAAGGCACTCAGTTAACAAACAATAACAAAATTTGACTCGAATCTAATCTTCAATTAGATGTGAAAAAGGAACTTACAAACTAACAAACATAAACAGTGAAAAAAGTATAAATAATGAATGAACACACCCACAAAATTGGCCAAAGTTACAATTACCCAGAAGTAACTATCATGCAAAACCCATACATATACCTAAAATTAAACAAAAACAAAGTAATAATAAAACTCTAAATGCAAATTTAAACTAAAGTAACTCAGATGGTAAAGTAATTATAAAAATCTAACTGACCAAATACTGAACTGAGAAGATATGAAAGACCTAAATTATCAAGTGAGAAAATTAGGCCAATTTACACGAGCTCACAAACTCGTGAAACATGGGTATACCTAATGGGAGTGAGGAATACATGATGAAAAATGTATCACAGATGTTCTGGGAAAAGAATGATACCTAACCCAGGAGATTACATGGAGATGTTGTAACAGGTGGAAGGTGCAGAAGAAAGAAATTTCCACTCTGTAGTTATATCCTTCGTCACAAAAAATCGCAATAAGAAAGGAACAAATCATTGGCACAACATAAAACATGAACTCCCTCAAACTAAATCCTATACTTCCCCTGCAAACATCATTGAGATCTGGGGACTCATTTCACAACCATTGTCACCTGTTGCAGAAATTTCATCATCTGCCATATTAAATCTCAAATTCATATGAACAAATTAGAATTCAGAAAACAGAAATATTTCTAAAACAAATGAGTAGAAACAATGGAAATCAAACATAAGAAGTTGAAACTGATATAAATTTGTGACTTGAAGTTAGACCTACTGAGTTTCTGATACACACCTGAAGCTAGGCCAACTAAGTTTCTGATACACACCTGAAGCTAGACCAACTAAGTTTCTGATACACACCTGAAGTTAGGCCTACTGAGTTTCTGATGAACACCTGAAGTTAGATCTACTGAGTTTCTGATACACACCTGAAGTTAGACCTACTGAGCTTCTGATGAACACCTGAAGTTAGACCTACTGAGTTTCTTATGAATATCTGAAGAAACACCTACCAAGTTTCTGATGAATATCTGAAGAAAGACCTACCAAGTTTCTGATGAATATCTGAAGAAAGACCTACCAAATTTCTGATACACACCTGAACTTAGACCTACTGAGTTGCTAATGAACACCTGAAGTTAAACCTACTGAGTTGCTGACACTAAAAATATGGTATGGAATGAATACCTACCTAAACACAATATCAAACTCAAAACCATATGAAAAAATTAATCAAACATGGTATTTCATATACAACTAAAAGTTTCCTTTGAGAGTTATTGCATTGTGTGATTGAAATAATACACCTTTTGCATGTTATTAACATCTTCCATTTGATATATATATAGATATATACAAACTTTCTAGCTAAAACAAACATTCTTACTTATAAAATAAAATCATACCAGTCTTTATTATGGCCTATTTTTTGGTGAAAAGAACTTTGCACCAAAAAATGACTGAGTACAATATTTTTAATGTCAATGTTTTTGGCTTAAAAAATAAATATTTTTAAAATTTAACATTCATACCTCGCTTTGCATAACTATAATCATTAAGATAGTGTAAGCACATTCCTTTTCTTTGATAGAGCTTGTAGCTTAATTCTTGAGGATATCCTTGTTGAAAAGCTCTTTCAATATCTTTGAGACACTCCTGAAAAACAAGAACCACCACTTCCATTTATCTGTTTTTACTAATTAAGGATACAATTATTTATAAGAAAAATTCAATTGTTTTCTTTTTCTTGCCTCTTAGCTTGAGAAATTAAGCTATACATTTCCTAATTTCTTTGTTATTTCTGTACAAATATTGAAGAACTAGCAGTGATATGCAACGTGTATTCTTTTTGACTAATTCTGATACTGTTAACAGAAAAGTTTAATTTGCAACCAATGAAGCTGATCTCTAATATAAACATGAATATATTCACAAGTTATACTAACACTTACATATTTTTCTTAGTTAAGTAAAAACAGTTCTGAAAGTGATAAGTATGCACCTGTGCAAACTTTTGGGATCCTATCCAAAATTTTTGGAAAGTTACAATCAATAACAACCTGTTCAAATAGGGAAAAATTCAGATTCAAAAAGCAAACATGAATATTGTCAAAGTACTTGTACATAACTACATAAAAAAAAACACAATTTTATCACAATTGTGTTTATTCTACTGTTAAAAGAACAAGTTACATGACAATCATTCATTCCTTCAAGTAAAACAAATAAAAGATAATACTAGAAGTTATCATTATTTACTCCTGCTTTGTGTGTATTAAAGAAATGACTATTTCTGATTCTTCATGGTACTCTAATTTTATGCTATAGATTTTTTTTTGTAATATACTTGGCACCAGACTTATGATTTTTCATAAAGAGTACATTACATTAGGTCTTATAATTACCCTTGGCCTGTGAGGATATTGTAATCATGAAAATTTTACACAAGATGTGAAGTCAGTATGGAACAGTCTTCCCTAACTTTGGTCCAGATCCAAACCCAGATTCAGAATCACATTGAAGCATTTTTTTATAATGGAGGAATAGGGCATTTTCATGATTTTTGGTTAATAACTTTGTAAAGTGTGATCAGATTTGTACCAAATTTCATGGGCATATTAAGGTTGAGACTCATCACACAACAAAAAATTAACTTGATCATTAATCATTCTGGATCTAAGAAGGATTTTCTGAGTTTTCAAAGGTGAAATTTTATGCTATTCAATACAAACACATGCAATATCGAAAAGGAGTGGCAGGGTGAGTATATGCAATCTCTCCAATTGCTATTGTTCCTTCTCAACTCCAGGAGAGGATTACACTTCAAAGTCTGGATGAGATGGCTGTCAATCAGGTAGTTCTTATTGAGTTAAGAGTGTGTACAGAACAAACACGATTATTACATACTGTTATAATGAGAGAAGTTTCTTTTTAATCTGATTTCAGTGCCTAACTCAAGCAACTAAAACTTAGTCAAGTTCCACCATTTTACACTGGGTTTTAAGCTCCAACATTTATAACTATTTAGTTATTAACTTTATTCAGTATAGAGATGAATATTGTAGTCAAATGTTTTGTACATAAGCTACACTGAGAAACTCAAGACAGTAAAACAATGTCCATTTATCTCACACAACATTATAAAAACTGTTAATAAATTATCATAATTTTGCAATACAACTAATATCTGGAGAAATAATTTACAATGCTGATAAATAAGATCATCAACCTAACACTTACATATAGTAGCTACTAACTTGCAAGTTTTAGATATTTTAGAAAGTTATTTCAGAAGATTACTACAATAAATTCTCAACACTACCTTATACATATGAAGATGAAACAGTGCAGCAGAGCGATTGGCAAACCCCAGAGCTAGCTCTTCATGATGTTCCCCAGCATCATTGGGTCTTGGAAAGGGAGCTGATAAAATGCTCTAAAATATATGGGGAGGGGGGAATAAAACATGCAGTAGAATACAATTTAAAACACTTATAAAAAATTTTAAGTGAGGATTAATTGATAACTTTCTGTAAAAATAAAATTTAAGGGTCCTTTAAATCAACAGTGATGTTATATGGTGTATGTCAACTAAAGAGTACGTTTTCACTTTTTTTATAATGATACAATTATATCTTATCAGTAAAATACCTTATGTGCTACTATATATATTAACATTCATTTGAGTAGGAGAAGCTAGAACAAAGTCCTTTTGCGTGGAAATTTATCCACTTATTGAAAATACTTAATGTCTGTAGGAAACATAAAACCATGAACTGACTCAAGATGATGTACATTCTTAAACAAAAAGATTTTCCTGCATAATAAGTATTCACATGCTCAGTAATGACTAACACAGTAAGTTATTGAATATGTATAATAGTTATGTTCAGTAATAATTCATATGTTTTATTACTGCACATGTAGCATTCTCAGTATTGATTAACATAGTAGATTACTGTACATGTAGTTATGCTCAATAATGACACAGTAGATTACTGTACATGTAGTTATGCTCAATAATGACACAGTAGATTACTGTACATGTAGTTATGCTTAATAATGACACATAGTAGATTACTGTACATGTAGTTATGCTCAGTAATGAGCCACATACAGTAGCATATCAAGGCCCCCTCTGAAATCTTAACACTCAAGTTTTTTATCATTGTTTACAAATATCTTAATATTAGCAGTCATGAAAGATCATTCTCATTGAATCATGATCACAATATTATATGGAAATTAGCAGAAGTGATCTAAACCTTAACTAATTTCATAAATATCATATTATACAAATTTTTACTTTCAATTATAGAAAACATACTAATGTTAGCATAGCCTCTAATCAAATTAACATGAACGAAAGAAAGCCTGAAATGTAATTATTCTTAATAAATTTTAAACATTTCGAGACATAGATTCGAAGCTAACTAATAAACAAGAAAAATCAATAAATTTCCATGTCAGGTTTCACAACCCTCTCTCTCTCTCTAGTTGTTACATGTACAAATAACTTTGATGTTTATAACAAAATCTTCTATATATGTAAAACACATTCTGAATATCAGCTTTAATTAACTTTTTATATTTTCTTACTTTCATGATGACTTTACTCAGTAACATAATCTTAAGCAGTAGCTCTTATGTAACAAACCTGTGTATAACATTCAACAGCTTTGCCAAAGTCTTTATCATGAAAACATCGATTTCCCTCCACTCGCAGCTCAGATGCCTTTTCCCAATGTTTCTTGTGTTGTGAACCACAAATTACGTTTAACCAAAATGAAAGCTTGTTTCTAAGATAAAACAACAAAAAAGGAAAATTAACAAAGAAGTAGCCAATTATATGAAAAGAGTCACAGTATTACATATGATAATAACTCATCCAAACATGATACTACGTTTTTAAGTTTTTACTTGTGTTTTTTATAATAAACGTAGCTCCATATTTATGCAAGATAAATTAAACATAATTCACTACATTTTTCTCCATCAGAATCTTATCATCTAAGTTCTGAGTCCATCTCATATCCAACAGTTAAAGTTCATGTTCTTTTCTTTAAATTTTTAAAATTCAATATGTAGCAATAGTGCAATCCTCTTCTGGTTAAGAGCTGGTTTTCATAGCTTAATGTAAAGAGTTCTAGCATATTAAAGTGGGAATTCTTCCCAAAAAATGAAGAATGATGCAGAAAAAAACTGGAGGTAGGTTTTAGCACCAAAGTGTTCACTTAATCGACTGCACAGCCTTCTAGTGGTTAATCCAATATATAACCTTAGTCATACACCACAAGCAATGTTGTCTTAAAGTTCAAGAGCTCTTTTAACCATGACTCTGTTCAAAGTTAACATTTTCCTTACCTAAAAATGTACTTCAGACGGGTACTCACATTTCTGCAGAACTAAGAGCTATTACCTTGCACAAACTAAAAGTCTTCATTGAAACTCTCATTCCTACATGTATTAAGATAGACTGTGTCCAATTGTGATGTAATAATCATTAGCTATATCCCTTCACAAATAAAAAAGTGACATATCCTCCATTTGCTGTAAACCCTACAAGCACTGGTGTTTCAATAAAGACTGTTTCTTAACAAGGCAAAAGAAACACATTGGAAGCAAAGAAAAAAAGGTGGGAGGTTCTTTCGAGAGGTGAGTATCTATCTTAAATACATTTTCAGGTAAGGAAAATTTTAACTTCAGAAATACTAATCACCTCTACATAGAACTACGAGCTAGAATCCCACACTGTACTACTCACCTCTACATAGAACTACGAGCTAGAATCCCACATTGCACTACTCACCTCTACATAGAACTATGAGCTAGAATCCCACATTGTACTACTCACCTCTACATAGAACTACGAGCTAGAATCCCACATTGTACTACTCACCTCTACATAGAACTACGAGCTAGAATCCCACATTGTACTACTCACCTCTACATAGAACTACGAGCTAGAATCCCACATTATAAGATTATTACCTGAAAATGTATTTGATAAGATGGTAGAGGAGCCAGTACAGAAAAAGAAATGAAAATAAGATGAGCTCCTTTCTGGAATTAAATCATCAGAAAGAAAAATTTATGAAGTATGTCACCCATTATGGAGGGGGAACCTAGTGGGGAATCACTCAGTGGGAGACTGCATCTTTGTCATGCAGGGAATACTCTTTATCCAATAAAAATAGTAAAGCAAATGTACTTTCAAAAGAACTTTCTGCATGATAATGAAGTGTCGCATAGGTAAGTGAAATGTAAAACTACACAACCAGCCATTATATATCAGGCAGTTAGCAGAACGTATGTATGTAGTGTAACTATGGCAATAATCAAGCCATAAAGTATTGGAGACATATGTAAAATACTTACCAGCATAAGCAGGTGCAGGGAAGAGTTATCCTAGCCTGGCATCCTTAGGAGAATGCAGGACCCATACAGTTAACATAACCTCCAGAAATAGCTATGTTCATAGTGTAGCGGAGCAGTCACATACCAGTGGGTACACCAACACCCAAGAGAACTATCTATATCAACCTCCCCAGAAGCCTGGGACTGGTCAAGCATAGGTTTAAGTACTAACCTAAAAGAAAATGGGAAGGAGGGAGCTTGAATGGGAGAAGAGCACCAGAGAGGTGCTCACATACCAAACAGGAATCATCACATCTGCATAAGATATAGTGATAGACTGTCCAAAATAATATATCATGAATAGAGACAGTAAAACTAGCCAGGCATGAGAGAAGTATCACACTTGGTGCTGTCATATTTTTCAGATGTATGGCCTGGAAGGTGAAATATATATATATATATATATATACTGTCTCACACAACACCCCATCTCAACAGCAGGTGCTGGGCTGTTATCCCGTACTCAATATAGATTTCAAGAGAGAAGTATTTCCTCCATAATATAGGTATATAGATCTAATAAGGTGGTTATGGGACCTGCAAAAGTAAGAAAGAAATAATTAACAACTTACTTGTTTAGAGTCTCTGTGAGGATTGAAGAGTGCCAACTAGAGGGAAACAAAAACAAGAGGCAGATTATACTGCAATGTTATGTACATAACATGACTCAAAGGTGTTGGGAATCATCCACATCCCCACCTGCAAGATTTCATGCAAAGGATGTTGATGGCTAGAGACAAGAGAAACCATGAATTGACAAACTTAGGATGGGTGGAGACATGAAAAATAAGAAAAATGTCAACACCAATAGAAGAACAAACTAGTCAGATGAGGTGTATGACCCAAACTGTTAAAGTGGAAGAAGATAAGTTACTATAGGAAGATGAATCCCATAGCAAGAACAGACACTGTTGAATGCCTTAAGAAGAGGCATTATAGTTGAGATAACAACAAACAGCCCATACAGGCCAAAGGAAACAAATGGGATAGGAAATGTCATCCATGGTAGAAAAGGAAGGGAGGTCAATGGAGAAAACATCACCTTCCCAAGCAGTCCAAGTTTTTGAGAGCAAGGAGCATCCAGGGAATAATATTAACCTCTCCTTGTACTACAGAATGTGGGTGGCATCCACGCCAAAGATATCAGAGCAATAGTATCCACAAGCAAGAATAAGAAAATGTGTTTTATGAGAATGATAGTAGAGGCAACAGATGGTAAACATTTCAAACGGGGGACATGTGAAAGCCCTGAGAACTATACAGATCTTCCAGTCCAGAAGTGAAACCATAAAAGGAGAAGAACTGATGAAAAGAGTGTGCGAGAGATCTCTAATAAGAAAGAAATGAAGAATGGCTGGGGAAGAGACAGGAGGTTATGTACAAAGCCATCATCTGTAACTAACAATAGTTAAATGGCAAGAAGTCAAAGAGGCATATAAAAGAATGAACCAATTCAGACTGAGAGCATTCACTACCAAGGCAGTAGAGTCTAATACTGAAGACCAATAAAGTGAAAGCTAGGTGTTGAGGTGAGTCAGAAAGATAGCAAATAAATGACACAAAAATCAGAGCAAATCCAGCAAAAACAACAGAGTATGGAGGGGACCACTCTGTGGGAAGGATCCAATCTAGAAGTGATAGTTCATCTGCCATCAGAGTCTAAGCTCCTGAGACATAATAAACTGAGAACTGAACATTGTGGTTGTGGGCCCAAATGAGAAAGCTTAGAGCAAGGAAAACAGAGATTCTGAGGCGATGAGGTGAATGTCTCCCTGTTGGGAGTTAGATGAAATGGCAGAGAGAATGTTTAAATATATCATAAGAAGAATACCAGAGGGTGTCCTTCTTAGCTCATATGCGGTACAGGCTCATCTTTCTCGTTTTTATCTTTGAGCCTCAGAGCTCTTTATATCAAGGCTTTCATGTATTCTTGCATGAGAGGACTTGCCTCTTTTTTTAGGGTCTTGCTCTTCTCTTGAGGCCATCAGTGGATTCTGGCTGATCATTTAAAGTGTATTCAGACATCCACTGTCTTCTCTTGTGTTTTTCCCTCCATTTTTACCATCATGCACCCTTGTAAACTTAGCACTTTCATTCTCACCCTTCCCCAAAGCAATCTTTGCCTTAAATCTATCCATTTTGTCTTGCTTCCTTGATTTCTAATGGACAACATTTAGTCAATTAAGTCTGTCTTTATACAACTACCGTTGAGAAAAGTAAAATTTAACCTACCCTTTATTTTTTAAGGAAATCAACAATATTTTTCTTAATTTTTTGTAAAGTGCTGGTCTCTACTGCTGCTAATGGCAACTCTTCCAATAAACCAATCACCCTGTTAGATAAATCACTGTCTTAACTGGAATCTAGCCTGTCTTTCCAGATCTTAAACTAGGTGTGCATCCACCACATCTGAAGTCAATACATTCCAGAAGCTAACCATCCTGTCAGAGACTTCTACTGTCAACCCTTCAGATAATCTTGTAAATTTCAACAAAATCACTGCTTTCCCTTCTTTTTCTAATAAAAAAATTAAGTTGAGAAATCTTAACTTAATCTTATAAGATAACCCTTCCAACTGTGTAATCATCCTTTGAACTCTTTCCAGTAAGTCAGTTTTTTTTAGATAAAAAAGACCAAAACTCCACACATTATTCAAAGAAAGGTCTAACTACTGATTTATATAGAGATATAATTACCTCTTATGACTTATAATCAGAACATCTACAAATACAACCTAAAATCTTTTAGCTTTTCTATCAGCAACAGAGCACAGCCTCACTGGCTAAAATGACTTATCTTCCCATATTTATTCTCCCCAAGAAGGTCATCAATTCTGTCTATAAGATGCTGGTGAGAATACTATGCGTATGTTCAGTTTTTGTCACCTAATTAAGAATGAATGTTGAACAGTGTTTAGAGAGGAATACTCAAGAAAAATTCATGTATGAAGCAGTCATTATATAAGGATGAGTTGATAATTACTACTAATTATGGCCTTAAGATCACCCAAATCCATAATTAGTTACTAATTTTCAATCTTAAGACTTCAGCTACTAATCTCTTGTTTTTGTGGAAAGATGAAAAGCTAAGGGAGACATGATTGAAGTTTTATGATTATTAGAGGTTTGAAATTCTTTATTCAAGACGACATTAACAAAGAAAAAACATCTGCAGACATTAATTCTATGGTTACTGTTTAGGTCCATGAGACCTAGCCTGTACGGAGAATCATACGAGTCCAACAATACATATTGTAACTCTGAAATTTCTGAATGCATCTTCATGAAATTGGTAATATTTTGTTAAAGATTACAAGTATTTTCTACACAAAGAATGAGATTATTTTATTGAAGTATTTCAACTAAACATATGTTATTCTTTT